ATCTATCTATCTATCTATCTATCTATCTATCTATCTATCTATCTATCATCTATCTATCCATCTATCCATCTATCCATCCATCCATCCATCCAACCCTCATCTGTAGCTAACTATAGATTTGTCCATCTATGTATTTTTGCATAAATAACTTTGGAGCGAGAGCCTGAATCTCCGAAGAGGGGTTTTTTGGGGGGATGGGGAGGGGGAGAAGAAGGAAGGGAGAAGAGACACCCCACCTCAAGATGGGTGATGTTGTGGCCTTCGTGGCCTCTTCACACGCCTGGCTTCCACCTGGTTACAGATGGCTTCACCGTGGCCAGTCTGGGAGATGTTTGTTCTTCACCCTCTCCTGTTTTTTTTTTATAGACCCCGCCACCATCTTAAGAACAGGAAGTGGGTTTTGCGTCAAGCAGAGAGTGGTGGGGGGTTGAGGAGGGAAGTTCCCCATTCAAGAGGCGGAAACTCCCACGGCTCCTTCCCTTCGTACCTGCAACGGTCCAGCGAAGACGGCCATCAGACACAGGCCCTGGACCATCTGGATGGTCTTCATGGTGCTTCCTGTGGGGGGGAGGGAGAAGAGAAGCAAGAAAGCGGAAAGTAAACCCTGGGCCTCGAGATAAAACGCTGAATTATGATCCGTCCCACCGATAAAGGAGACTTTTTTTGGAAAGGGCAGGGTTGAGAGGAGGGGGTCCTTGGCGGGTGGTCTCTGAGCTGGGAGGAGGAATGGTTTCCCCGCAGACATTTCAGGACCTAACTAGGGAACATCAGAGAAGAGAAGAGAAGAGAAGAGAAGAGAAGAGAAGAGAAGGAAGGAAGGAAGGAAGGAAGGAAGGAAGGAAGGAAGGAAGGAAGGAAGGAGGAAGCAAGGAAGGAAGGAAGGAAGGAGGAGGAAGGAAGGAAGGAAAAGAAAGAAGAAAGAAAGAAAGAAAGAAAGAAAGAAAGAAAGAAAGAAAGAAAGAAAGAAAGAAAGAAAGAAGGGAGGTAGGTAGGAAGGTGCTTTCTCACTGGAGGTTTTTAAACAAAAGACAGCCACTTGTTTGAAAACTGTATAAGGCCTTCTGCTTGACCAGAGGGTCAGACTAGAAGACCTCCAAGCTCCCTTCCAACTCTGTCCTTCTCTCATACTATTATGGTGTCCTGCTTCTAATAGCCACAGCTTCTTTAGAAGTTTCCAGAAAGTGGTGGGGGGACTGGGGATGACTGACAACACCCGATTCCAGAAGATAAGAGTGGGTTCAGACTTCCGGTTTGGGCTTCCTTGGCAACAGACCGAAATCTGCAATTGTGCATGGTTTCGATCCGTGATCGCCACCAGAGCACCCTGAGCCAGCAGCAGCAACATCAATCCAGCAGGCCAGAGGTCATTGGATGCCATGTTACAACATACCTCTCCTTCTCTCCCTCACACTGTCCCTTTCTCTCTCTCCCTTTCTCTCTCTCTCTTCCTCTCCTTCTCTCCCTCACGCTGTCCCTTTCTCTCTCTCTTTCTCTCTTCCTCTCCTTCTCTCCCTCACACTGTCCCTTTCTCTCTCTCTTTTGCTCCCTTTCTCTTTCTCTCTCGCATTCTCTTTCTCTTTCTCTCTCTGTTACTCTCTCTCCCTCAGTCTTTCCTTCTCTCCCTCACACTCTCTTTCTCACACCCTCTTTCTTTCTCTCCCCTTTCTCTCTGTCTCTCTCCCTTTCTCTTCCTCTCTTTCACTCCCTCACTGTCTTTCTCTCTTCTTCTCCTTCTCTCCCTCACACTGTCCCTTTCTCTCTCTCTTTCTCTCTCTCTTCCTCTCTTTTCCTCCCTCACTCTCTTTCTCTCTTCCTCTCCTTCTCTCCCTCACACTGTC